AAAAGAGATATTAAAAACAGATGCATTTAAAAAGTTCCAGGAATTTTAAATTATTATTATTTACACAAATATTAGTTCGAAAAGGAAAAATATTAATTTTATCACAAATATATAATATATAATATTAATTTTATCACAAATATGTAATATATAATATTAATTTTATCACAAATATGTGATATATAATATTTAATATCTAATTAAGTCACAACTATAATGGTGTGGCTTGAATATGTGATATATAATATTCAATATTTAATTAATTTTGCTATTTGTATTATTATATTTTTAGGTTATAACTCTCGATTATACGAGTATATTTTATTAATTTAATAATAATAAAAATTACATAAATGTTATTACATAGAGTATAATACAAAGTATCTAATATCTAAATAATATTTTTAATATTTTTATTTGTATAATTATATTATTTTTTCTAATGATTATAATAAATTAAAATATTTAAAAAGATACAAAATTAATTGTATCATCGTTACAATATGACTGCAAGGTGACCAATTCCTTACAGAAAAGAAAAAGAATAATTCATTCACACTTAATAATAAATATTATAGAATGAACTATAATAATTTATTCTTGTACTTTCGTACGGGATTATAATAAATATTATAGAATGAACTATAATAATTTATTCTCGTACTTTCGTACGGGATTATAATAAATATTATAGAATGAACTATAATAATTTATTCTTGTACTTTCGTACGGTATTATAGGAAGACTTGAAGTCTAGTTTAAACTATAATAATTTGTTTGTTTGTACTTTCATACAGGATTATAATAAATATTATAGAATGAACTATAATAATTTATTCTCGTACTTTCGTACGGTATTATAGGAAGACTTGAAGTCTAGTTTAAACTATAATAATTTGTTTGTTTGTACTTTTGTACTTATCACACTTATATAGAACTATAATAACTTGTTTTTTTGCACTTTGGTCAAGAAAAATTATATAAAGAGAGGTTATATAGATATAATGCACTCGAAAAAAAAAAGAAAAAAAAAAGTATATATCCGTTTAATTCATAATGAAAAGGAATAATAGCTTCAAAAGATAACATTGTCAGCTACCAGCTTGCTTGTCTGGGTCAAAGCTTTAAATATTACTTTATCATTAACTATTCTACCCCAGATATACACTATAAGGAAATTAAAAAAATAACTATTGCCATTGTTTTTATTGTTATTGTAATCTATTGAATAATAAAAATAAATAAATTATTAATCCTTCATTCTTCATCATAAACTGAAAAATAAATAATAATTTAGCCTTCCTCTCTATTTCAATTCACCTTTTTTGATCCTTTGTTCAACCTTCATCCTTAATTGTTGATCCTTCATCCTTGGTTATCTTGCTTCTCTTATTTATCCTGCTTCTTCCATTTACTTACTTATTCACTTCTAATTGTAATTTCGTCTAAATTTAATTTAAATAAAATAAATAAATAAAATTGAAAATAAATAAATTAAATTAAACCTCACTTCCTCCATTCACCTTGCTTCTTCAATTTACTTCACTTCTCCATTTACTCACTTCTTCACTTCTAATTGTAATTTCATTTGAATTTATTTAAATAAAATAAATAAATTAATTAAATTAAACGAATTAAATTAAATGAATTAAATTAAACCTTGCTTCTCCTATTCACCTTGCTTCTTCCATTTACCTTGCTTCTCCCATTTACACCTCTAATTATAATTTCATCTAAATATATTTAAATAAAATCAATAAATAAAATAAATAAATTAAATTAAACCTTGCTTCCCCTATTCACCCTGTTTCCCCATTCACCATGCTTCCAATTCACTTCACTAATTTCATTAATTTTGTTGATTTCATCCATTTAATAATGTCATGTCTATCATACCTTTTGATTATTCCGCTTTTGTCTTTTCCTCTTTATTTAAATTATTCAAATAATTGTTATCAAAAATGTTTTCTTCTTTCAATAAATTATTTAAATTAAAATTATTATTACCTAGGTCGGCCTCAACAATTTCGGCATTATCTGGAGTTGGATTCGTGGTATCTTGACGATGGATGGATACGCTCTCTTCTCGCAGCTGCAGCGGTTCGTCGAGTTATTCAAATTATTGTTATCAAAAATGTTTTCTTCTTTCAATAAATTATTTAAATTGAAATTATTATTACCTAGGTCGGCCTCAACAATTTTGGCATTATCTGGAGTTGGATTCATGATATCTTGGCGATGGATGGATACGATTTCTTCTCGCGGCTGCGGCGGTTCGTCGGTTTCTTGATGGTCCTCAGGTACGATTTGAGTTTCCCAGTTATTTACTTCTAAATTTCTGGCTAAATTGGTTATTTCTGTTATTAACCTTTCTGCCTCTGCTCCTAAACCGGTTGGTTCTCGGGTTGATATTGAGCTTTGTCTTTGGGATTCTTTGGCGATTACGGCTTCGTCATTTTCGTCGAGTCGTATAATTAAAGGTGAGGACGTAGTGGGTGGTGATCTAGTTCCATGGAGTCTTGAGGGTCCTGCTACTACTCGTGGGGCAACTTGTGGTGGTGTTCGTTGGGTGAGCTGATTAGGAGAAGAGGGTATTAGGTGCGGAGATGGTGAGCTTCGGGATTGCGATCGGTGATTTTGGGATTTTTAAGCTTATAGATCAGAGATAATCAATATAGATCAGAGATAATCAATTTATCTATAATAAATCATGTCACATCCCCGATAACCGTTAAATAATCATGAGCTCTAAATTTATTTTCAATAAAATAAGTTTGCACGTACATATTAAAGTGTGAAATAATCATGAGCTTTAAATTTATTTTCAATAAAATAAACTCACGCACACATATTAAAATGTGAAATATCATGAGCTTTAAATTTATTTTCAATAAAATAAACTCACGCACACATATTAAAATGTGAAATAATCATGAGCTTTAAATTTATTTTCAATAAAATAAACTCGCGCACACATATTAAAATGTGAAATATCATGAGCTTTAAATTTATTTTCAATAAAATAAGTTCGCACGTACATATTAAAGTGTGAAATAATCACGAGCTTTAAATTTATTTTTAATAAAATAAACTCGCACGTACATATTAAAATGTGAAATAATCATGAGCTTTAAATTTATTTTAACAAAATAAACTCACGCACACATATTAAAGTGTAAAATAATCATGAGCTTTAAATTTATTTTCAATAAAATTAACTCGCACGTACATATTAAAGTGTGAAATAATCATGAGCTTTAAATTTATTTTCAATAAAATAAACTCGCACATACATATTAAATTGTGAATATTTCACACTTTAATATATACGCGAGTTTATTTTATTGGAAATAAATTTAAAGCTCATGATTATCTGTGATAAATTAATATTATCTGTGATAAAGTTAATTTATCTGTGATACAAATTAATTATCTGTGATACGATGTTATTATCTGTGATAAAATTACTGTTATCTGCGATACAAATTAACTCCTGTTTGGCGTGTGGCTTAAGTCAATAAAATTCAAGCCACCTACTATTAATTATTATTTATTAATAATTTAATTGTAATCAAAGTAATTTCAATATCTCATCTTTTTAATATAATTTTTTTAATTAATTTTTTTTTCTATTATATAGATATCAAGAAGACTATACAAATTATTTGTAAAAAAATGGAAAATTATAAAATAAGACTACAACTACGACAACAAGAACGACAAGAACAACAAAAACAAAAGCAACAACGTCAACAACAGCAACAGCAAAGACAACAACAACGGCAAAGACAATGGCAACAACTACAGCAACAACAATATGAGCAAGAACATGAACAACAACAACAACAGCAACAAGAACAACAAGAAGAACAGCAGCAATATGATGATATAATTTTCAATCCAACTCAAGTAATATATTTATTAACTAATACTTTATAATTAAATTATTCAATGATTTCAATTATATCAATTATAAAATAAATGAATTATATTAAATAGTTTAAATTATATTTCTAATATTATTTTTATTTTATTATTAGCATCGTTATCAAGGTGCTTCCGGTAAGGTATCTTCTGATGAGAAGCTTTTTTACGAGAAAAATTTATGGAAAAGTCAATCTCTTGTTCCTAATGATAAGATCTCAACTAAATCTTACAATAATATATCTTTGTATGATTTATTAGCTGGGGTTTTAATAAGGGAATGTATCAAAAATTATTCACTTGAGTTATCTAACATTCCTTTAGAATATCTCAAGTTAATAATTTCAAATATAATTAGGCAAAATAATATTAATTGGAATATTAAAACTTGGAACAAGTTTAGATTATGGTTTAATCAAAATAATAAAATACCTAAACAAATTCAAAAAACCAGAATTCAAAAAATTTTAAGAAAGAAATGGAATATATTACTTGAAGATAATCCTTTTCAGATTGAAGATGGTTTTTTTATGATTGAAAATAATCTAACTATTTCAGAATTGAATTTAAAAGATTTAGCAAAGTCAAAATATAGATCAACAAGACAAAATAATGAGTTTGCAAAAAGTGCTCATTGTCTTGATAATCCAGGATGTATAGTGGATCAAAATAACCGAACTTTGATTCACTTAGAAAATATAGATGATCAAAATGTCTTATTACTTGCTACTGAAACAGTAAATAAATACTATTTCCATTTAATTAGCAACAATGAAGAAGATCAAAAACATCGAAGTCAAGATTTTTGTGCTAACCGGGTTGAACATTTTGGTGCTTATAAATCATATAGGAGTTTACCATATACAAGTGTCAATACAGCTAGTAGTCATTATCTAGCTCATCGACCATGTGTTAATGAATTACTTCTTAGTCTTGTACCATTATCAACTTATGTCAACAAATTTGTACAAGACAATTATGGAAATATGTATTTGAAGTTGAAAAATCTTTCCTGGGGTCCTTTTGCACCAAAACCTTTTGGAATTTTTCCAATGATTGCTATTAATTTTAATCAACTTAGTAATTATCATTGGGATAAAAATGATGCACCAAATTGTTTATGTTGTCTAATACTGTTAGGTAATTTTCAAGGAGGTGAACTTTATTTTCCTCAACTTCATACTGTTGTACCACTTCGACCTGGTCAAGTTGTCATATTCTCTTCTCATTATTTACTTCATGGTAACTTTCATTTAACCGATGAAGTTAATAATATTAGACATAGTATTGTCTATTTTATCCATAATACTTTTTTTCATGAAATGGAAAATTTTAATAATATGGAAATTGATGATGCTAAATCAAAAAAATTTAGATTAGATCTTTATAATAATCATGGCTTGAATAGTATTAAACCAGTTTTTAAAACTCCTCAAGCTTTTCAAATCAAGGAGTATACTAATAATAATAAAAATGATCAACGACGAGATTCTTGGTAAGTAAAATATTATATATAATTACAATTTTTAAAAATTCAAAATAATTCAACTAATTATTATTTATTTTAGATTTGAAAAAAATTATAATAGATAATAATTAAATTTATTTTTAAATTCAATTCCAGTTAATATATTGTTGCCAATAATAATAAAGATATTATATTTAATATAAAAAGTATTTTAATAAATTATATAATCTGTTATAATTTTAAAATTTCCAAAAATTTAATACTTTATCAAATTATAAAATGTTAAACTTTCAAAAATATTAAAATTACAGAAGATAATACTCATAATATTATAAAATTTTCATATTTACATCTGAAAAATTTTCTGATTAAAAATAAAAATAAAAATATATTTTTATATGTAAATTCTAAAAAATTTGTATTCAAATTTTTGCTTCCTAAAATTATCTCGAATATTTTGATGAAAAAATTTTTTGATGTAGCATCAAACTTAAAAAATTTTTTAAAGTATTAAAATTATAAAAGATAATACTCGTAATATTACAGAATTTTCACATTTACACTTGAAAAAATTTTCTGATATAAATAATATTGTAAAAGTTATAATTAAAATTTTTAAAAATAACAACATCAGGAAATTTAATTAGGCATAGATTTACGAAAATATCATATGACCTCTGGAAATTTACGCCTAAAAAATTTAATTTTTTAACTTCAGCTGAGATTTAGGTGACAGGGAGCGATTTTCTACTAAGATATTTCTAAGATAGATCGAAAGCCCTGGTTTTTGGCTACAAGATGATATGTG